CGGGTCGGGTCGGGTACGGGTACAAAGTTGTCGGGTCGGGTCGGGTACGGGTGGAAAAAAAATTTTCGGGTCGGGTACGGGTACGAAAATGGTACCCGTGCACATCTCTAATCTTGAGTACCTCTGGTAAAACTTTTAACTCGATCGGATGAAATTTACGAGGGGTCGTAATGTGGTGCAATGAAAAATCGAGTTTTCTAGGAAATTGGTGAACGGCAATAGTTAAAACCTGGAAACAAAAACGAAAAAGTGCTCCATGGAGTTTTCAATTAGTTCTGAAAATATGAAGCCTTAGTGAGTTTTAGTTTTTATTTCACAGCATTTCTACGGAAAGCTCAAAATGAGGGGAATGGTTAGCCTTAAGGATCCCTCTACTCAAAAAGGCTGATTTATACATGGCTGGATAGCCCAAAATATTTGCTTTCCAATACACTATACATTTTTGTTTTACGTGGTTCCTGAGGGGATTTGAGCGGCTTTTCTGAATGCCATTTTTTTCTCAAATTCCTTTTTTAACTTAAACACGTTGCCATTTATCTGATTTCTCCTCTCTTTTAAGCTCAGGAAATCTTGAATTGATCTTAAATTAAAGAGAAAACTCGATGCTATGACGCAATAGAGCCCGATTTTTGATTTTCGTTTTACTCTTTGAGATAAAAAAGATATTCCGCAAAACTCACGGAGAGTTTTTCAAGTTTACGAAATAAGCCATTAGGGAAACGATAGGAAACAAAACTTTTTAGAAATCATGGTCTGCTATGCCATAGTGCCGAATTTTCTCTTTAATTTTAGCCTAACCCGTGGTTTTTAGGGCTTAAAATAGAGGAAACATTTTGTAAATGGCAACACCTGCTTTTTAACCCTTGTATCTGGAATAACTCTGAGAAAACTCAACTTTTTAATGTGAACGTACCTTGATACGGACTAATATACTCTCTAAATTTGAGAAGACAATTACTAAGGCAAATGTTCGATCGAACATTTCCTCTCGAAGATAGATTTTTGAGTGGGCGGAGCCCTAAAGCAAGAACCTTGGTACCGTTTGGAAAACTGTTTAAGAACGATGACAGTGCTCAACTTTTCCCTCTTTTTCCGTTTCTGTATGTTCTCAATAAAATTCAAGAAACATGAGAAGATGATTTTATCACTTATTTCAATACATACATTTATAATAATATAGCTGAACTTGCTAGGCAATATTCTTATTTAGCAAAAAATATTTTTACCAGGTCGACTTTGTGAACTGAGTCCGCAAATCGACTTTGTAAAGAATTTTTCGATAAATTCATTTTACAAAGGTCTCTTTACCAAGTCGAGTTAGTGGTTAGAATCTTTGAAGAAAATTTTTTTAAACTAAATAAAAATATTGAAACAACCTTATTTTCTTTATGGAGTTGACTGTATCATGAAAATCACCTATTTTTAAATACCTTTGTGATACAGCTTTCTTCATTTACATAACTCATTTTGTTTTTAAATCTGGTTACAACAAATTGAGTTTTTGTTTGCGTATCACTGGGTTTAGAATTCAAAGATGACTTTGGTGATTTATTTTTGATTCTATTTTCTGATATATGGTACTTTTTTTCTGTATCGTTCGTTTCAAGAGAAGAAATTAATAGAATAGTAGCAGAGTAGAACTATAGAAGAAGAGAAATCTATATAATTTAATTACCAAGATTGGTAGTAATAACCCATGTCGAACTTTTTTTAAAATATCGTCGGTATACCGCGTGGTTACCGCTGATATATGGGACGGCATTTTCGTTTACTATGGCGGTATACCTTGCGGTAATCGTCGGTATTTTTCCGGTATTAAGCAGTTTCATCAATCAAAAGTTTACATTTACTCTCCTTACTTTTTTTTCGGTCCAAATGCGTAACGATACCGCACTACTGCCTATCTTTAATCAATACCTTGTTCCACTGCCAAAGATATCATTCGTGTAAAACTACAATCTCTCCATATAAATCCTAGAACATATTTTCCTATGTTCAATTTGACGAAACTAAATCAGAATCTATACAAAGATGGTGTAGTACATGTATAGCAGAGATGGGCGATGAACTATCTTTAGCTTCCTCACGGGGATCGCCTCGCAGACTTCCTGTTTCTTCATCACCTCGTACCTCGTCAAGTTTCGAGAAATCTACTTTACGAGGATCGCCGCGTAAACTTTCTGCCCCGCCACCGCCTCGTCCATCGTCAACTATTATCTATCCAAATGCAGAGTGGCTGCGGTCATATTTTTATAATTTTTTAACGGAACAAGATGAAGATCTGCGGCTTCCAGTATCTTGTAGCTAGGACCTAACAGCATCTTCCTAACTCTATCTGACTTACAATTTTTAGAGACAATGACCAACCCTTAGAAAAATCGAGAAAAGCAACTACACTGTAAATGGTGAAAGACGCTAAAGCGACTAAAAGCCAGACGCTTTCCGATTTCATTCATATGCCGGAAAAGTGTCGGGTTCAAAAATCTCTAGAAAAAGTGCCATTTCAATGGTCAAAGATGTCGTCCCATGTATTAAATATTGAAAAGCAGAAAAAAAATAAGAGTTTCAGGACAAGCGTATCACCACATTCACCGAAAATCCCAGCATCTTTTATTACTAGTACTCTATCTTGAATTCATCTTAATCAGATAAAAATCTGAAAGTTTCTGTTTTTTCAGTTGAACAAGTAGGCTTTTTGTAGCTTCTAATATTTTCAATACTGCGAAGAAACAGCGAATACTTATTTTAAGAAAAACATGACTAAAATCTACGCAAAATCTTCTTTTGTCTTTCCGAATTAAAACAGAATTTTCTGATCATGCGTAAATTATCGTTAGAAAAGCCGGCAGTTGTTATTCGATAAATTCTAGAAAATCTTAAGAAAAAACAGTTGAAGAAAAAGAATGATTACATTTGAATTGCTAAGCGTAAAGATATCGATTCATACAAGAACATGAAAAAGGAACTAAATAACCTGTGAACTAATGAACAATGAACTAAATCGTTTGTTACGGTTCAGCCTAGAACTATTTTTCATTCAAGAAACATTGAGAACTGATGAACTAGTAGTATTAGAAAAGAGAGATCCGTAGAGTTGGAAACAGTTACGATTATAAACGATGGAACTTCCAGAAAATGACGTTGTTTCTGTACTGTACATGACGAGTTCGACACGCTTTCAAGCAACAATATTTATATACATAAAGTAATTTTATTTAATTGTGGTTGTTTTGAGTATACGTCTAATTTCGATATATTCGATATTGTTTTAAAAATATGAAATTAGAAAAAATTAATTATTTAGTATGTCTAGTAGAGAGATGATGATGGTTTATCATTTATTTGGTTACACGACGAAGATGATAAGAGTATTAATTTTCTAAAATCCGTTTTTCTCATTCGATATACAAAGATCAAAAACGGCTGTTTAAGGACGACAGTTTTATGTAATACTTCAATCAAGTTGTACTATTAAAATGCACTGTTTTTTCGTTCTTTTAATAGGATTTAACCAGATAGATTCTGTAACAGGAGCTGTCAAAATCTCATGAAGTGTCTAAGATTTTTCGTGGTCATAAACTTATACGAAATACGAAAAACCGTTAAAGTTTAACTACAAGCATTATAAGGCAGGCAATCAAAGTGTTTAAGTATCTTCGATATCTGCTCGTAAATAATCGATAAGTCTTGATATTTCAATAATTCGTTTTCTATTTCGTTTATATTCTTCATCTTCATGTATATTATCAATCATCGTCGATTGCCAATTGGATATACGTGAAAACATTTCATCTTCACGTTGATCGATTTTCGTACGATGAACTTCATCTGAACTTTGACAAGCATTCGTTATTGTATCTTTATCTGCAAATAACTGAAAAAATGAGAGACATTATACATCCGTTATTTCAATAAATGATAAACTTATACTTCTCTCGTTTCATCCGGAAATTCATCTTCTAATTCTCCTTTCATTAGTCTATCAACGGTAGAGATACATAAATTCATCATGGTTTCGTTGTACCATGCTTGTAATTCTCGCAGTTGACTAAAATTACTACGCATCGATTCCGTAAAATTTGATACCATTTCACTCAAATTACGTTCAAATGTTTGAATTGTTTCCTTAAGAAAATAAAGACATAAGCAGATTATCAATTTCAAAAGAGTAAGAGACTTACTTCTAACTGATCCACTAATGTCACTTCTAATGCCATTAACTTATTTCTTAAGATTGTTAATGCATCGTCATATTCAGCCATGACAGACTGAGACACAGCTTGTTGATCAAGATCTTCTTTTGGCTGGAAAACAAAGTGTAGACAACTGTATAGCAGTGAATCTATCCAAATACTTAAAAGCGAACATATTTACTATTATTAAGATTTCAAATCGTGATTTTTTAATCTTATCATCAATATTCTGTTGATTTTCTGGAAGCAAAGTTATACTTTCAAGTAGATTATTGCATCTCATTCTTCTATAAATTTAACTACTACCTTTTTTCATTTCTAATAGTCACGACGTATTTTTTAGATTATATCGATATTTTACAACGACTATATGACGATATATATTAAGGGTTAAACAGCGTCATTTTAGAATTCTGTACTTCTTCATTCTCCTTGAATTTCTGAGTATTTCTTCGTACGTTTAAAGTATAGAAAGCCGTAGGACTATTGCTGTTTATGAAATCTATCACTATCTTACCGACAGATCATTTACCTCTATAAATCATGTAAATATTTACGTTCGATAACACGCATTCGGACGCGTTTTTTTCTTACTTCTAAAAATGGACGCGTTTGCGTCCCAGAAAGCGTTTGAACTCGTTCAAAAGCCACCTTTCCAAACTTTAAAACGATATGTTGTGTATCGATATAGTGAGCATGAGATTCTAATGCTTGAAGTAAATAAATTCTAACCATTGTTAGCTCAATTCTGACACAATATGTATTTTATCAAATTTTTTTAGAGATTCTAACAAGCGCGTTCAAACATGTCCGATTTCTCAACGCGTTCCGATGCATGGGAATTTAGAACGCATTTAAACTACCCGTGCAGATGGAAACGGTCGTTCGCGGGGTGCGGCGAGTACTCGAAAATAGACCCTCGCCGAGGGCTCGGATGCTCGATATAAGCTTTGGAGGGGTGTCGATTTCGAGCCCTCGAATTTCAGATAGGCAGCGAACCCTGGGGAAAAATTTCTAGCCGTCGAATCGAGATGTTCGGGACTTCCGAGCCCTCGCTCCCTTGAAGGTGAAAACGGCTCGAAATCGATACCCCTCGAAAGCTTATATCGAGGATCCGAAGTATCATTTTCCGAGAGCTCGAGCCCTCGGCGAGGGCCCATCGAAAGCATATTTTCGAGCACTCGAAGTACCCCTCGAACAACTGGTTGGGTAGGTTAGATATTCTATTTCCAATGTGTTTGGCAGCATTTATTAAAATGCGTTTAATTATCCAAACATTTTCACATGAGAATCCATAGAAGTCAAAAATAAAAATGATAATCTTGTGTCTTTTCCCGTTGTTTTTGTTGTTCTTATGTTCTTCTGTACAAATAAATAGACTAGAACGTACTTTTTGGTACTTCTGAATTTCTGAAGGGTGTAGGAGTCCAGAAGTACGCTGTTGCCAGCATGGGGTATATCAATCTAAAATATACCACCATTACATAGTCTTTCTGCACAAAATTCAACGAAATTAAATTTTTATATCTAAAATTTGACGTTGAATACGAATGGGTTGCTCTTATACTTTAAATGAGTAAAATCCTCGATTAGATTTCGCATATCTCATCAACTAGTGCTACCAGATGATTTTTAAAATCCACCATTTGAATGAAAATGACTTCTTCATCTTCCACATCAAAGAATAATTATACAATTTTATTCTCATTAAATTCTATGCAATAAATAGCAGGAAAATACATTAAAACCATCGAAGTTGTAGAATTCTTTAATCCACGATCTCTTCATTAGATAAAGTTTATTTTATACAACTAGTCATATTTGATGTGCTTTTCAACACATTTTCATGTGTTTTATGAGATTTCCTTTTATATTCAACTATGTATTCTTAAATTTCATTATTTCTACGATAAATCTCGGTGACCGATTCAGGTTCAACCAAGACTTTATGGTAGAAAAACGCCCAGAATACAATATAATGAGAATCTAATCCAAAAATCAGCAAGGTAAGAAAATTTTTATGCGATAATCTAAAGGTCCCTTCAAAACTTATTTTTGACTACAGGACTGCAGCTAGCTCATCGGCGAGAAAATTTCTTGTATTGCTCTCAGAAAGTTTATACAAGAAAAAATTGTGATACTTTTATTAAAACGACAGCGTCCAGTATATTACGTTTCTGCAAAGCGGATCTCATTCAAACATTGTATAAATCTTCTTCTATGTCCACTACATCGATACACAATGTCCAAGTTCCTTTCTGTTTTACAATAAGTTTTCCTCTAAAATTCATTTTTATTCACTAAAAATCTGCTTTTAGCTAAAACGAAATGTGCTATTAGCAATTAGCTCGCAAAACCCCGTTGAAACTTCTGCAAAACAATTAGTTATTGATGCAAAAGTCTCTCCGTAAAATTGTGTCCTTTAGGTCATCTATATGGCGATTTTTTCAAAAGATTAATTACTGATTCATGAAAAACAAGCTATTCACAATAGACTTGTAATGTCTACATAACAAGACAAAATCCTCCAAGACGAGAATACTTGGATTGATTCTGAGCATTCGGATAGTATTTACTTGTTATATCATCAGATATGAATATAGCATAAAATTTTATTCGATTATCTAATGATTTTCTGCAAAAAATCTAATATTACGAAACAAAGCAGCGAGAGCAGAGGCACACACATTACTGCAGAATTCAACCAGACATAATTCTCTATTAATTTTTATTGGATAAGCTTTTCTTAAATTTACTCATTGATCTAATGATCACTAAATAGCTCACTCTTATTTACTTACATATTGTCCTGACGATGAGGATGCGGACATTATACTTAAAGTACGTTTACGATACTCCGTATAATTCAACAACTCCTTTTGAAGGGTAAATTGTTTTTTATCCTACATAGGCAGACAATAATTTTTTTTCTTTATTAGTGACATTTTGTCTCGCCATACAAAAAGTATTTCTTTTCTAAATAAAACTGTGCAAAATACTTACAAATACTTTCGTTCGATAT